ATAAATGTCCATTTGATTCAGAATAAAAATATAAAAATTTAATTGAATGTAATAAAAAATTTTTCTAAATAATCAAGAATCATTTTAGATATTATACTAAAAAGTAATAAATCTTACATGATAATGCAAAAGATATGCATATATATATATATATATATATATATATTATTACTTTTTTCATGTCTTACAACACATTTTAATAGTTATAATTTGAGATTTCATTTAAAAAATATAATTAAAAATTCTGAGACGAGAGAAACTATAATTGTAATATTTACTTTTATTATATCATTATTTATATTTTTTCTATTACAAATTTCGAATCATTTAACACAACTGTATTTAAAGTTGTTATTAATTCGTTTCCTTTCCTTTTGTCCACCTCATTTGTAGATGTAGCTAGTTAGGACACAATCAAGTTGAAATGATTATAAACAGAGAATCAAATCGAAGATCATGCAACTTAAAGGGGTTTGGGGATTATACCTCATAAGGTTGTTATCACTTGGCTCTTCCATGCACGTCCACAATCGATTAGAATACATATGAGGAAAGGAAACATTTTGGTCTTGATTTGGATAATGTTTTTTGCTCACTCCCATGTCTTTGTCTTTTCAATAATCCCAAAGTCATTCACATGGAAAAAATATATATTAATATATATATATATATATATATATATATATATAAGTTTTACAAAGTCTACAAGTAGATAATTATAAATAGTATAGAAACGGATCGTGATTAATATTTGTACAGAATTAAATTATTGATTCGATTTATAATTTTATATAATTACCCTTTACATATTATTTATGTAAAATCTTAAATTCGTCATTGTTTATAAATATGAGCAAATAATTAAATCATTTTAAATTAAAATCATAAAGACAAAAAATTTAAAATCTTATGTTAAATTTTGATTAGGATACTAACATTGTACATGTTACAATAACATGAAGCGTAAGATCCAAGTCATCCAACAAAACCTAGAGGGATGCCAATGCCTTCATAAAGCTAATTTCATTTTAAAAGGCCAACATGTATTAGAAAATAGTTTAATTCCTCCAAATTTTACCGTTGTTTTTTCTGCTTCATATTCCATTTTTTCCCTAGAATCCAAAGGGAAGTAAGAGTTCAGATTGGATTCCCCTCTTTTCTTTTCCTTTTTTTTTTAAAAATTTATTAATAAAAAAAAGGTCTGGTTTACCTTTAAAGAGAAAAAAAAATGGTGCCTAATAAAAGGTGGTTTAGGACAAACTAATCCGGGGTCACATTCAGTGGGCTTCCACGTGCTCGTAGTGGCTGCTTAGCTGGCTCACGGACCAATGACAAATGTCTTTCTGTCAATTGTGGGACCCACTTTCTTCAAGGGATCTTCAAGGTTATTCCCAAGTTTAGTTCCATTTTTTTTTTATTTTGTTGAAAATTTTTATGTATTAATGTGATGCTAATGACCCAAATAAAAAACCCCCAAAGAGCAAAAAGCAATATATATATATATATATTTAAAGAGCAAACTTTTTGTTTTATTTTATTTTTATTCTTTTTTATTTTGTTGGAATTTCTTATTTATTTATTTAATTATATGGTGTTAAGGACTCAAAATAAATTAATAATAAGGACACCACAAAAGGGAAGAAAGAAAAAAAAAGAAAAAGGCTTGGATATAATGGGATGAGAATAAAGATTGTAATGAAAATATTACTTGCCATTTTAATTCATAAATATATTCCTCCCTTTATTCCCTAAGAAACCCCAAACCACAAGGAAATTGGGCATGTGTGAGGGTCGTGGAGAATTGTTTAAATTAAGTATTTAACTTTATATTACTAAATCATTCATGTGCTTCAAAATGTTACTAGAAAAATAGGAATAGAGATAGTACTATGAATTTATAGTATTAATATTGCATGCAATTCCATGGAAAGAATCCTAATGAAGCAAATTAATAATACAACGTGTTAAAATTGAAAAAATAAAAATAAAAAAAAGAAGAAGATAAACCAAAGCATGTGAGGCATGAAAGAGGGCAAAGGAACATCCTCTGACTGTATAATTAAAGCTTTGCTTAAACAACACTCCTTCAAAGCCTCAGCACCTGCAAAAACAAAAACAGTGCTTTAAATTTAACCCATCACCAATTGACTTGTCATCAAAGATTCTCCCAACTCTGCTAACTGACGTGGTAGCCACCACCATCCTATCTTCTTCAATGGAGCAAACTTATATATATGTATTAATTAATCAAATTACTTATGTTTCAATAAAAGAAAAAATGTCATATTACTTGAATATTTTTAAATTATTTAAAAAAATTTAAATAAATTCTTATACTTTTATTATATTTGATCTAATTTTTATATTTTTATTTTAAATTAATTAAGTTTTTATAATTAATAATTAATTAATTACTATAAATATAAATATCATATGTTATTTTATATTCACAATTTACTTAAAAAATAAAAAATACCATATTACTATATTATGATTTCACATCAATATATTACGTTATTTATTATGATATGTTAACATATTATGTACTATAAAATAATAAATAATATTTTAATTAATTTTAATTAATTAATTATTAATTATAAAAATTTATTTAATTTAAAATAAAAATATAAAAATTTAATTAAATATAATAAAAATATAAAATTTTTAAAATAATTTTGAGATTTTTTAAATTCTGTGTAGAAGAATTTCACGTCCAAAAAATGAATGAAGCCTTAAAATTATAATAATGTCAAGTATATAAGACAATTTTTTAATAATATATATATATATATATATATTTTTGAGGATATCCATGTGGACCACACTCTCCCACAGCTCTTTCTCAACGTTCAAGAAGGGGAAACCGCCAGATAATTTTATTCCACAAATAGTTTGCCACTTTGTCATTATCTTTACTGACTCACATTTCTGAGTGCCATAAAAAACAGTTATTGACTAAGGGCACTACAGCCCTTAAAGCAGCATAGGTACGGCAGCTCGTGGGTCTGGGTCTACACAGTGCGCACCCTGACCTGTCCTTAGCCTTTGGGGTGGGTTGGCTTCAAACTTCAAACCTGGTTGGCCCCCTAATGTTTTTCACGTGATTTCCCACAAGTTCTTGCCCTCTTTTTTTTTTTTAATTCAATTTTTCGTGAGAACATTTTTATTATCATATTTAATTTAGGTGCCGTTTGACAGCACCGCACGATGCCAAATGAGAACCGATGGACAGATTCAGTAGGAATTTGGAGAAAAGTAAAAAAGGGCAAAAAGAGGAGTTTTTGTATTGTCAGTGACCTCCTTGCCGCGCCGTACATTGGTACCAAACGCGAAACACACCCTTAACATTTTAGTTATTTATTTATTTTTTATGATGCGAAGAATATCAGATTATATATAGTATGTCAAAGCATAACTTCAAATTCTTTAAAAAAGGTTAAAAATTGAAATTGGAATCTCAAAAAATAAATAAATTGTTCAATCTCGGGTCAAATTAAGACAAGATATGTTGTTTATTTTAAGATTAATGCTAGAGTCATGGTGGTTTAACTCAAGATTATTCATTATTAGTAACGAATTTAAAATTTTACATAAAAAATAATTAAAAAATAATCATATAACATCATAAATGTATATATTTTAAATTTTATACATATAATAATAAAAAATTTTAAAAATTAAATGATAATGACCGTTGATATTAAAAGAGTTACAAAAAAATAGGTTTATTTTGATATTATTTATTTATTTATTTTTTACAATTCTCAAAAATCAAACAAAAGTCATAATGTTTGTCGAAATTGGGAGGTATGTTGAGATTCATGAATGAGTCTTATTTATAGTTTGAAAATGATTGAAATTGAGAGGGAAGTGAAGAAGGAAATCAAAGAATGCCTAATAAAAACAAAAAAAAAAAAGGGGCAGAAGATTGTAGAAATGGTGGTTTCAAAAGAAAAAACTCCCTCGAGCAAATACATCATTGCTTTCACTAACATGACATTTTTCTTGTCATTGGAATGAAACAAAAATGTACTACAATTAAAGATGACTTTGTTTTCTTATTTTATTTAGTTATTCTAATGGCATTAAAAAAAGAAGGAAAAAAAAAAAAAACAACTTGAAAACTTTACCCTTAGTTTATTTAGTTATTCTAAGGTTAATACTTAAAAGGAAGAAAGAGAGTAGGGTTTAAGAGAAGAAACTGCCAGGCAGAAGAAAACGCCGAGCAAATGCAACAAAAAGTGTAAACAGACAAAGGGACTGGCAAAAGGGGAAAAGAAGGAGAAGCAAGTGGGTAGATCATGGTGGCATGGCAGAGTCAAGTAGGGTCGGTGATAGTGAAACTACCCATTGTTAACTTAGTGCAGTGTAGTGTTTTGCATTAATTAACTTTTTAAAATAAATTTACAAGATTTTTTAATATGTAAAATTCGATTTTCATATTCAAACTCGAAGCTTTTAAATTAGATTCCTAATTGTTAATGGTTAGAATTTAATTTTATAAATAAACATTGTACCTTATTTTTAATGGCATGTTTAAAATTAACTATCAATTTAATTAAGAAACAAATATTTATTTTTCTACGTAACTATCAACTTAAAAGAAGAAATAAAGTCTAGGTACTTGTACAAAGATAATCACAAACAGGGACCTTTACTAATAAGAGAAGCTCATCTCAAACTCAAGTTGTCATCCTGTCAAATGGCTTTTTGCTATATATAGAAATTAAATGAACTTAAAGTTTTCTTTTTTTTTTTTATTTTATAAATGTTTTTTTTCAATTGATAAGATGGTTTGTTAAGCAGGTGACAAATTTATTTATTTTTTAAAGTAAATGACAAATTTAAGTGATTTTTTTGGTTATTAAAAAATTACGAAATTAAATTATTAAAAAAAAAAGAAAAGAAAAGAAAAGAAAGGAAAGGAATAGAAAACGAAAGAAAGGCCTCATGTACAGCTCCATTCTCTCCCCATATATACCCCCACACCGCCTTCACCGTCTGCTCATATCTTAACAAAGACAAACAAAGAACACTCTTTGTTTCTCTCTTTCTCTCTCTCTCTTCCTCTCTAGCTTTTGCAAATCCTTTTCTTTTTGGTTCCTTTAGCTTTATCTCTGTTGCTGGGCATGGCAAAGGAAGGAGAGCATGGTTTTCATGCTAAGGACTATGTCGACCCTCCACCAGCACCCTTGATTGATGCAGCAGAGCTGAAGAAATGGTCATTTTACAGGGCTTTGATAGCTGAGTTTATTGCAACTATGCTTTTCCTTTACATCACAATCTTGACTGTGATAGGCAACAAGAGCCAGGTTGGCACCTCCAATGACTCCTGTGCTGGTGTTGGAATTCTTGGTATTGCTTGGGCCTTTGGTGGCATGATCTTCATTCTTGTTTACTGCACCGCTGGTATTTCTGGTAAAGTTTCACTCCCTGCCTTCATTTCTTTCGCTTTCTCTCTTTCTTCTTTGGCTTGGCTTTGTGTGCTTTTTCTAGATGAAAAATGGTTCTTTGGAGTTTACAACATATAGATTATTTGGTTTATATATATATATATATGTATATATATATATATAGTCTCAAAAAACACCTTAACGTTAGAATTTAGAGATTTATAACCTAAAAAAAGAGATTAAAATACGGTTATTTTTGTTCTGATGAGCTCAAGCCTACCAAATTTCTATGTAGACAACACAAAAAGGAAAAATTCTGTATTTTCCATGACAAGTTCCATGAACAGCTTTGGCAAAAGTTCAACAAATTTTCCTACCCCTACCCACTCACCAGAAAGAAAAAAGCTGATTTATTCTTGACTTCTTAAATTATTAATAAACTTAAACAGTACTGTAAAGTAATTCTAGGTTCACAAGTCAGTTGATTTCTGACCTTAATTATGCTAAGACGTCTCCTGCCATGGTTACAACAGGTGGTCACATTAACCCAGCGGTGACATTTGGGCTGTTCTTGGCCCGCAAGGTCTCATTGATCCGAGCCATTGCATACATGGTGGCTCAGTGCTTGGGAGCCATCTGTGGGGTAGGGCTGGTCAAGGCTTTCCAAAAATCATACTACAACAGGTATGAAGGTGGAACCAACACTCTTTCAGATGGTTACAGCACTGGTACTGGCTTGGGTGCTGAGATTATTGGAACCTTTCTTTTGGTTTACACTGTTTTCTCTGCTACTGATCCCAAGAGGAAGGCTAGAGACTCTCATGTCCCAGTAAGTACCTTAACATTTCCATCTTTCTTGTGATTATAAAGAAGTCTTACCTAAAATTTAGAATGAATAAGTTGTTCAACACTCTCAAGATTCATGTCCATTCTAAGTCTTAAATTTGTTTGCAAGAGTTTTCATCACAAAATCTATATGTGACCTATGAGGCTATGACATAAAACATTACATTTGCAATGTTATTTCACATGTTAATAATGATAATGGAATCATTAAGGCAAAATTTTTATAATATTGGTATTGCTAGACATTCCAAGATCCTTAAGATTCATATATAAAGAGTGTATATATATATATATATATATAGAGAGAGAGAGAGAGAGAGAGAGAGAGAGAGAGAATTCTAATTTTTTAATTATATGAAAATATTTTATATTATAGATCCAAAGATATAATGAGAAGGGTGAATCAGATTTTCCACCCAATTGACAGATGAAGTTAAAGAAAAAGACAGTAGCATGAGCTGGCCAATCATAACTCTGTGGTTACCATTGAAGGACGTCTAATCTTTGCTTAGGAAAAGGATTTCGTTTTTCTTGTTTTCTTTGAATTTGGACAAAAAATTCTTTGTTTACTTTGCTTTGGCTTTTGCCCTTGACACAAGGCATTTCCTTTGTTTCCCTTCTCAGTCCCAACTTGAGTGGTGGGTTTAAAACCTTGAAAAAATCAAAGCAACAAACGTCCTTCATGTGTCTTCATGAACAATATGTCTTTTCTTAATTCCCTTATTTAGCAAATCCGTGAGATATTTCCATCTGTTTAAGTGTCATGAGCATATACTTTCTTGTCGTGTTAAGGTCTTGGCTCCCCTTCCAATTGGTTTTGCTGTGTTCATGGTTCACTTGGCTACCATCCCAGTCACTGGCACTGGCATTAATCCTGCTAGGAGTTTTGGAGCTGCTGTTATCTACAACAACAAGAAGGCCTGGGACGATCATGTTAGTATAATTCTCAATTCCTAAAGCTCTTCATTTCTTTTAACTCTTCATTAACTTAGTTTTCCTTTGACATTCTTTTTCCCATTTTTTTTCAGTGGATTTTCTGGGTTGGTCCCATGATTGGAGCAGCCATTGCAGCTTTCTACCACCAATTCATCTTGAGAGCAGGAGCTGCTAAGGCTCTCGGGTCATTCAGGAGCCAGACCCATGTCTGATGATCTTGACAACTCTTCTGCCTTCCTTCATGCCTTTTTTAAGAGGACAAGAAAATATGTAGGCAAAAAAAGTGAAAATAATGAGGGAAGTTGCTTTATGCTTTGTGTATCGCTATTGTCCCCCAAACCTCCTCCTTTCAACTTCCTTCTGTGGATGTTGAAAGTTATAGGACCTTTAGGGTCATGGCACTGTAGATAAAGTCTGTTTGAGAAGTGGAGGGGGCCTTTTAAATAGCCCTTTTGTCATTTCAAGCACTTTCCGTAGAATTTACTTCACCTCTTTCTCTCTCTCTCTCTCTCCCCTCTCTTTGTTTTCTTTCTTCTCTTCCTCTTATTTGTCCTCATTTATGCTTCTAAGAAAAGTATTGGACATTGTCACCTTGAGTTTTACTTGTGTCTCAATTTGCACTTATTGCTCATTGATTAAGGTGTTCACTTCACTGTCAAGCTCCTGCTGATTCCAAAGATGAAAAGGATATACAAAAATATTGGTTTAGTTTGAAGAAGTAAAAGCGGAACCAGAAAGCAGCATGGGAATCCTCATTGGAAGGAGATTTGCCAAAACCTTATTATAATTCAAAAGGATTATTAGCTCTTCACTCTTTTAATGTGAAGAAAAAAGGGTTGTTGGGAAATATAGTTACTATATTTGGCAACTCACTATAGAAGACAAATAAGGTGATGATGGTATTATCTTGTAGCATGATTGGATTTCATTTTGCAAGCAGGTTTAAAATTATAAGGGTTTGAAAATTGACATGAGATGAGTCAAGGAATAGCATAAGCTCAGCATCCTTTTTAAATATTTAAATTATGGGTATAATATTTAAATATTTTTTAAGTTTTGATCAAAATTACACAGTTATATTAACTTGAAAAATGAATACTCTACTTCAAAAAAAATGTTTATCTTTGTACTGTTTTTATTTCTCAAACTAATAAACTTTTGAGTAATTTTGATCAAAATTTTAGAATGTCTAGATATTTTATCCTTAAATCATTAACAATTTAATCAATAATTTTAACAAATTAAATATACTTGAGTTACATGTAAACTAACCTAATAACACTAATAAATAAACAGATCAATACAAACGTAATCATAATAAATTACATACAAATTAGGTGTAAATTAACTTAAATAAAACACAAAATTTCGTATCATCATCGAATTGACTCGTTTAACTAAACACAAATTGTGTACATGTTACATTTTGAAATTGTGTCACAAATGGGCAGGGCCCATTTTGAAATTTTAACCCTAATTAATTCTCATAGATACTGTATGTATAGTATTACAAAGGGTATGATGTAGTGGGGGGCTTAGCAAGCGAATAAGGAATCTGAAAGGGTATCCAAAAACAAAATGTGGTGATTCTGCTTACCTAATCAGGACAAAAGAAATTGCTTTCATTTGGTAAGATCAGTCCACATGGTCGTTCCACATTTCTGACGAATTATTAATATATTTGTTTAATGTCAACCTCAAATTTCCAAAAGCAGACCCCCAATTCCCTGCACATTCTCCTCAACAATATTATCTCCTGTGTCTCTCTTGTGGCTAAAACTTGATTGCATTGTTATTGATTTTGTTCGTGTAACATTTAACTGTGACCATGCCCGATCCAAATATTTGCATGCAAAGCATCATGGTTTTTGAGGAAAGTCTCAAAGGAAGAGTTGTAAATTTATGGATTAGACTAATATTAAATATTTTAGTGTTTATATCACTCTCAACTTATAAAATATCTTTTATAAGATAAAATCGTGAGGTTTAATGGATTTAAGTAGATAATATTTTATAGATCGATATAGATCATAACAATTGATATTAGAGTCAATTTTAGGGTATTAGTGACGTGTTATTGACTGTGAACTTTTGTTGGATGGGAGAGAATGTCATACTTATGAGAGGTGTGGCTTTCCAAAAGTTTTAAAATCTTTTACATCTTATATATTTTTTCTTTTAGCGATATTTTTAAAATATTTTTTTATTTAATAACTAATACAAATAAAGAATAACAAAATGATGTTACATATGTCATTCAACTTTCCTTTTTTAACTTTTTAAGTTTTTTTGCATATCTTTCTCTCTCTTTCTCTTTTCCTTTGTTATTTTAGTTTTACTTTACTCTTTTCTTTAAGGCTTATTATTAAAACATATTTCATTTTTTAAGAAGGATTTATGAGCTTGCCAGCTTGAACAAGAAAAGATAAGATCATTCACCATTATTGTCGAGGATCCTTCAATAAAAGTTAACTAACTCTGTCCTTGATTATAGTCTCAAAAGAGAGCCATGAATCTTATATAATGAGACTAAGTAAGTTTTTACGTGTTCATCCCACTTTTTTTAAGATAAAATCGTAAAGTTTAATGAGTTAAAATGAACAATACCTTGTAAATTGATATGGACCGTAATCCAAATCATGTGCAAACTCTCTCACAGGACGCATTGCAGGACATGACTTACAAAGTTTGAAGAGTAGGTGAAATTCAACAGCAAGATGCTGCATTTATGGCTTTATAAAGCTGAGGATGGAAGTTGTTGCTGCTTCTTTTTCATCAAGAGTGTGACACTGCACGAGTAATATCCCTATCACAAACTTGTTCTCATCTTCTTTTACATGGTATTAAATATCAGTATAAATTAAACAATTGTTGGAGTTAATATTATACCAATTAGGTGATATATATAATGACAGGCTATGTGCAGGTTAAGCCCATTTTTGTTTTAGGCTTGGGCAAAGCTAGACTTTTCAAACCTGGCTTGGCTAGGCTTTGTCAATGGGCTGGTTTGATTTTCCACGTCTTCAACAAAGTTTTTCGTTAGACGCAACAGAAACTAAATATAGCTTTAGCTAAGCCTAGCCCATCCAACCTCCAATCAGACTTCTAGTTATAAATGTTTATCGGTCAATCCAATAATATTTTGTGTATTTTTAATCATAATTGTTAATTCAAAATATGTATCGTTTATTAAAATTTTATTTTTTAAGTATAAAATTATCATATCCTAAAATGTAATAAAAAAGTTTAAAGTTAATTATAAATAACATATATATATGTAAAATAAAGAAAAGAATTTTAAAATATTATATTTATTAATAAAATTGAAGATTATATGATGAAAATTAAAAAGATGATTGTTTAAATCTTAACATGTTCTTTAATAATGTTTTATAAAAAAATTATTTAATAATAAATATTTTTAAATAAGATAAATATTTTCATGTTAATTGATGAATTAAAATTAAAAAATATTTAACATATTGAAGTCAAAAGAGAACTCTGTAACGTTTACAAGTTCAAATCTTAAAGATTTAATCCATAAAAAATATTTTTTGTGTTTTAAATTAAAATAAAATTTATAAAAATTTATCGTATCATATTATGTATTGTATAATATATTTTCGATATTTAATCAAATATTTGATTAAATTATTTTCAACTTTATCTTAACCCAAAATTTGTCCCCTACTCATGATGCTGTAAGCAGGACCCTACAAAAACATTACATCATTTTTTTCCCTCAGAAACAAGCAACCCATGCAATCACTGGCCATCATTTTGTCTAAAGCTTTCCAGCAGGGCTAATATCTACACACTCCAAAGCAACTTGAAGCAAACACTCCAAGCAACAAAGTCAACAAGCATCCCAAGGCTTAATTAAAGGAACCCATATATATATATATATAATTAATTCTCCAGTCCATTTTTACAGACAGAAAACATGGCACCTATCAGTACCATCTTCTTCTTCTTCCTTGATGCTTTCTCTTTCCTTTTCAGTCCTGCAGGATCATTAGCATTCCATATTCTTGCTTCTCAGAACTCTCTGGCTGTATCCATGCCTGAATTGGATTTCCTTCATCCTGAGTTTCCAACCTTTCAACTCTTGCAAATTGGATATACAGTTTCATGAAGAGGTAATTCCCATCTTCAATCATTATGGTAGTTCATGGAAGGTCACACTCACACAGGGAGCTGCTCAAACTGCAGGCTTTTTGCTTTGGTGCTTATGCCATTTTACAGCAGAGTCTCTTCACAAACCAAAGAAATTTCAGTTTCAGGCTTTCCCCCTTGAACTCTTTGTATCTTATGCTGCATATTGTACATTTTCATGCTAGGTCACTATGAGAAAGACTGTAAATCCTTACATTTAAGATTAAAGGTTCAGTTTCTTAATATGTCATTTAATTTGCAAAGTAGCTATGTAGATGCTTGAATTTTTGTGTACTGCAGGTTGCTTTTTCAATGTCTCTTGTCAATATTTTAATCATCATTAATTATATATTATTATGTATACGTGTACTTTTTTTTATCTTGTAAATATAATTTGAATTTGAATTTTTATTTTTATTAAAAAAAATCTTCAAACTTTGACCCAATCATTTAAAATATTTTATTAATTGAGTTTTACAAAAAATATATACTTAAAAATTGTTTCATTCAAAGATTATAAGGGTATAATTTGTTTAACTCTGTTAATTAACATTAACAATAAGTACAGATATAAGCCTTACGACGTCGTTTTTAAGAAACAGATTTCAACCGTTTTCCTTCGTCGTCAAAGTCAGAACTCGCGGAACTTTGCTTTCTTACAGTACTCTTCTTCTCCTTCTCTTCTTGTTTTAATTGTCTGAAATCTCAAAGGATCAAAAGAGTAAGAAACAGAGAGACAGATATGCATCTATGGCCCTCGGTCAGAATAAGGGATTCATTCAAAGCCGCTTATCTAAGAAAACTAGAATGGAACCTCCATAGGATGAAATCAGAGAAACGATCTTCTTCTTCTCCAAGGGCTCCTAGCAACCAACAAAAACTCTTAAATGACCAAGAAGCTGCTGACCCAGCATCTGCTTCTGCCGGTTGCTCCGCAAGTTTTATTGTGATTTGTAGAGAGATTTCCATGGTCCTTTCTTGCTGTTACTGTTGCTTCTGCTGTGGAGGTAAATAACTCTAAATTTCCTCTTTGACCACTTTATTTGGAAAAGTTTTGTTGAAAGATTAGTCTTTTTAAGTTTGGGTTTTTGATTTTATGTTAGTTTATTGTGTTTTTTTGACATGGGTTTTTTATTTTATGCGATATTATTGACTCCTTGTAGCTGTTCTTGTTAAAGATTACGTTTTTTTTTATATATATATAGGTCTTTGGTTTCATGTGTGTATATTTTTTGTATTTTGATTTTTATTTTATGGGACTTTAGTTTTTTTGGGTGTTTTCTTTGGAGATGGGTTCTTTAAATTCATGGCATTTTCTTTGTATTACCTTATTTTTTGCTTTGTGAATGATTAAACTTTTATTTGTGTTTTGATTGATAGGTTTGGGAACTCTAGGTTGTCCTTTATGAGGTTTTTTACTTATTCCAACCTAGCAACTTAGTACGAATTGTCATAATTCTTAACAAATTACTTTATGTTTCTGAAAGTTGTATCTGACTTCCTGTTTCGGACATCTTATTTAAAGAAATTGCCCAATCACTTGAATAGAATGATGGATCATATGCTTGCAGTCTAATTGTTGGACGGGCGTGTTAATGATCCCTGGGATCATATTTCAGTGATTCCTACAAAAACAAAATGACTTCGGCTGTGCAATTCAGCATTGCAATAGTACAAGCTTTTTGGAGCATACCTTTTATGGTCAAAGCTCATGCTACTTTTGTTAAATTGTTGCAAGTGAAAATGAGTTGTGTTTGGTACAACCTCAAGTCAAGCTTTGACTTGTGGATCAAAAGATGAGTGAATTGAGCAAAGAAAGAGTGCCCAATTTTGCTTCTAATATGGGTGATATAAACTTAACTTTTAGAAGTCTGAGAGCCCAAATATCTTTGGTATACACAAAAATAAACTTACCAAGTACTACGAAAGATTGAGAATTTGAGTTAGCCATAGCACCAGCCACTAGTTATAGTTGAGAATGGTATTTGGAACTTGTGGAAATGATTCATCTTACGCTTTCCTTACTTGTGATCGTTGAGATGTCTATCCTGAAATTGATTGGTTGGACATTTATTACCACCATTTAATCTCTAAGTAGGTTGATCATGCCATCTATAACACCTATTTTGTAACATGTATTGGTCTTATAGTAGCTATTTAGGGAAAAATTGAAAACAATCTAATGGTAGTTCTTCAGTCAGTCTGAGATTTTAGAAGTGGTGACTTCATCTATGAAGCCTTGATTAAGGATGTGTATCACGTGGTTTGAACATGCTAAGTTCCAGAGGGAGGGGACATATCAAGTTGGTTAGACTGCCTATAACATATTGAGATGAGAATAGTGGTAATCTGGTAGCTCTCGATATCTTTGGAGAATATAAGAATTGGATAGCGCTTTGAATGTTGGTGTTCTTAATAAGGATCATAAAGTGTCTCAAAGCTGGTTTTCTTTTGATGTTGCACATGGGAGTTGTTGTACTTGAGTGATGAATCTTTGGGAATGGTGATTTTCTTGCAATGCTTTCAATTTTTTTTCCAAGGCTTCTTCTTGCCTGAATTGATGCTTCCAAAATGTCTATGCATGTGCAATGAATCCCTTTATTCTGTTCTTCTAGAGGCAAATAAATAGAAGTAATTTAAAGTTTTTGGACTTTGAAAGATCTGTAACCTTTCACCTTCCTTTTTCTCGTTTGTATTTAGTGAGCTTAGGTAAGAATCAAAGATAGCAGCAAACCTCTTTCTATATATTTTGTTAATACACTTATTAAAAGTGGCACACATGCATGTACCCGTGGGTGCATAAGGAGTTAAAAAGAAAAAGGAACAGAGCAAGAGAAAAGGTGCTAATGGAGGTTTCATTTTATAGCAGGGATTGTAAAGCCGTTAACTTTCCATACTTTCAGTTGGTTTATGCTTGCCTCTTAAAACAAGAAACCAGGAAATAGTGTCAAGTTTTGCTTCCATTGAAGTGTGTTTATTTCTGGTCCTTATTTTACTATCCCAGATATTCTTTGAATTTTCAGTGTTCCATATCCTTGTGGTTTCTAGGATTGCTGTTGGTCTTTGCTACTCGATCACATTTTAGATTGATAATGTCAACTTTCAATTCCTTCTTTATGCCAGCTGCCTCTCTCTTTCTCTTAAATTTTTTTATATATATACATATTTGTTTGCTTGTGCATTGTTTTAACCTTGTTATTGTCACCTAAGTTTTATCACCTGATATGGTGAATTTCCTCTTTCAGCTTGCATTGATCACGAAGAAAACTGATGCAGTATATGGCGTGGTTTTGGGCACTGATTCACTCCCTTGACCACAGCATTGTACAAAATAACATAGGAAGAAACAAACTGTACAATATTTTGTACAAATCGAATACAAATGACTCTATACGTTGTAGTTGTAGTAGTCTTGTGACAATCCTTGTTCTATTGTTCTCTTATCAGACATGTATAGTATATTTGATTGTAATAGGAGTATGATTGCATTAATCAGCATCTTCATCTCTGGTCTCAAAGTAGTGAATGATTTGCTGGATCCCCATTTTAAAATCGCCGGAAAAACACCCCCAAGTTCCCTTGCAGATTGTTCCTCTTGAAAGCAAGTCATGGGATTATCATCTGGTTAAAGTAAACAGGCTTGGCCAACAGAGAAAAAGGAAATCCTAGAGTGAGCAGATCAATTGCCTGAGCACTACTCGTGGGTACATTACAGCTTAGGGGAGAGAAGGAGGAGGGAGAGGGGGCGCGGGGTTGCATCTCTGTGCCAAACTAAAATGTAGCTGATAAAATTTAATTATCAGCCTATACAGCAGTTCCTGTTAGCACATATTAAGGTACGGAATTTGAGATTTGGCGCCCCTTTCCCAATCCTACAATAAGGTTGGACGAAGGTACCAAAATAACAAGGCAAGCGTAGGTAACTAGGAATACCATAAATAATTAATCTATAGTACTAAGCATAGATCAAAGTATTCTAACCAACTTTTGATTTCCAAAAGCCTTCTAGGGTCTTGGAAACAGATTTTGATCAAGTTTGACTTATACGATCTTATGTTGTTGTGTTACAGTAACTTACTAACACTTCGTTACGATAAACCTTGCTACAACACTGTTTCTGCAGTGCCATGCCCACCATGGACCTTTTGTAGCAAAGATTTCCAAAGTATTGAATGATTTTACCTTGAGTGAAAGAGCATGAGGGGCAAAACACAAAGTGAGTGCGCACTAGCAAATGATGGAAATAAAGAAGCAAGAAATGTTGGTTTGGCAACCACCCCTATTAATGAAGTAACATCCACCAACCGCCCTTGTTGGGAAACTTAAATGCAACGCTTTGTTACTACTCTTCTAGGTTAGATACGCAGCAACTTTTTCGTCACTCTTTAATTGCTTGGTTCAAACTAATGCCCTTACAAGAACTAGAATTCGGGACTCTCACGCTTATGTATTTTTGTACGAAACAAACAATTTGATTGGACAAAGTATTTTCTCTTTGAACGTAATTCCCTTGTCTTCTTTCTTACGTCGATTTTAATTTTAATAATATTAAAATAAAATCAAAAAAAAAATAATTACTTAGTATTAAAATCAATGACTAGTGATCTCAGAGTCATGGTAGGAGAAACTTATCGTATCCTTTTCCTTCTTATATAACAAAAAATCAAACTTGCATTATATTTTTGAAGCTCATAGAAATTCCAATTCTATGTATTATAATTTTCGAAAAGGAAAATTTATAGAAAATTAACCAACTTCTTTATTGTTTCTATATATATATATATATATATATATATATATAAGAGAACCTACTATTTATAATTTTACATGAAGTTTTATACAGTCCATAATTTTTTTCAATATTCAAACTTGTAAGTTGTAGCCATCAAATTGGGTAATTAAAACTTGTAATAAGTTTTAATTATTGAGATATTATCGTAACAATAATTATTAATTTTTTTTAAAAGATGAAAATATCATGTGATCATGTCATTGTGTCAAATCTAACATTACATGTCACCATTTATCACCATATGTTAATTTGCCATGTAAGTACCATGTGGTGTAAAATAACGAGTGTCATTTTTATTTAAAAATTTAAACTTTTTAATTTTGTGACCCTTAGTTTAAAATTAGAAAACTGTTATGAATATTTTTATAAATATTTATTTATGTTATTTATATCTAGATTTGATGTAAATTATATTAGATTAAGATTTAATTCATCTATTTTTTAAGTATTATCTTCATCTTGTAAAAGAGTTATTTGCCTATAAATAGGCCCTTTAGTTCATTTGTATATACTCCTCAATAAGATTTCTTCTCTCCCCTAAATACTTCCTTTTCCTCTAAATACTTTCTCCTATATTTCTCTTATAGTTGTTCTTTTAGATTTATTTCATAACAAAAACAAATTTATGAAATAATTGAAAGTTATTATTAGTTATTTTTTATTTGAAAAAGTATAATTTTTAAAAAAGTTTATGAACTATTAAAAATATTTAAATAAATTTTTATTTTTCTATTACATTCTGTCAAGTTTTTATAGATTTATTTTAGATGAAATAGATTTTTATGGTTAACGGTTGACTAACTATCATTAATTAAAATATCACTTAACATTTTTGTCATATAGCATTAATAAAAAATATAAAAATATCATATGATCATCTCATTGTATCACATCAACATATCATATTATAATTTATTAAAATATGTTGATTTGTCACTTGAGTATTATGTGATATAAAATGACGAATGACGTTTTGATAAATAATAATTAATTCGTTATTAATTATAAAGATTTATTTGATTAGAAATAAAATTATTAAAATTCGATTGAGTATAATAAAAATAAAAATTTATTTAAATTTGTAAAAATAATTAAAAGAGTTTTAAAGTATCATACTAATTACAAACAAAACCAAGTTTCCATGTGCATAAAAATAAAAGTTAAAATCAAGAAACACAATTAATTTTTCTTACGTGTCATGCTCACGAGGCTAGTGTGCTGGACAAGAAAATAATATACAACGCAGCAGATCACTTGGTCCCTTTCACGATAAGTACCCTCCAGCGCTCAGCTGAAACTTAGAACTAAAAAATTTCAAAACCTTCGAGAGTTGACCCCCACCGCGGCGCATTTTAGTAAAAATGGCACGGCATCCGATAGCTGAAGCCGACGAGAAAAGTCCCTTCGGCACCTTAACTCCCCAAGAGTTCTACGCGCGCCACTCAGTGAGTCACTCATCCGAGTTCATCACCAATGCCCGCGGCCTCAAGCTCTTCACACAGTGGTGGACTCCACTCAACACTCCAATCACCGGAATTGTGGCCGTTGTCCACGGGTTCACCGGCGAGTCGAGCTGGTTCCTTCAACTTACTTCCGTTCTTTTCGCCAAATCGGGATTTACCGCGTGTGCAATCGATCACCAGGGCCACGGCTTCTCCGAAGGCCTCGACGGACTCGAAGCTCACATTCCAAGCATCGACGGAGTAGTCGACGATTGTATTCAGTTCTTTTACGCTTTTCGTGCTCGTCACGCGCCAGATTTGCCGGCCTTTTTGTACGCGGAATCGCTTGGTGGAGCGATCGCGCTTTATATCTCTCTCAGACAAAAAGGCGCGTGGGAGGGATTGATTCTCAACGGCGCAATGTGCGGGATAAGCGCTAAATTCAAGCCTCCATGGCCGTTGGAACATTTTTTATTCATAGCCGCCAAGCTTATACCCACCTGGCGAGTGGTTCCCACGCGAGGGAGTTTGCCGGAAGTTTCATTTAAAGAGCCGTGGAAGAGGAAGTTGGCAATAGCGAGTCCGAGGAGGACAGTGGCAAGGCCACGCGCCGCCACGGCTTACGAGCTCGTTCGGATATGCAACGACTTGCAAGGTAAGTTCGAGGAAGTGGATGTGCCGTTGCTTATTGTGCACGGCGGTGATGACGTCGTATGTGATCCTGCTTGTATCGAGGAGCTTTATAAACGCGCCGCCAGCGTGGACAAGACGTTGAAGATTTATCCTGGAATGTGGCACCAACTGGTTGGGGAACCGGAGGAAGGTGTGGAGTTGGTGTTTGGGGAAATGGTGGAATGGCTTAAGAGTCGAGCTTCGCAGACCGCCGAGGCAAACGGTGACGGTACTGCACGCGCTGCTGTCGGCAGTATCAGTGAATAGTTGGGTAGTTAATTTGTTGTGTAGCTTTGAGTGGAACAACATGAGCATGCCATGTGGGTAAAATATTTAATGATATTCATATTTAAAGCGCCTTTATTTTAGACAATAATTTCACTGTTTTTTTCATAATAATTTAATCAGATAATTTATTAAGCATTATAAAGTACTTAAATTAATAATATACATATCATGTATTTTTTGCTTGTTGCATACTCATTGTTTACGAGTATGTCAAAAAAAATTTAAAATAAGTACTTAAATTGAGAGGAAAAGATAAAAAAAAAATTAGGCAAAAAGAGTGATAAGAAAAATAGAATTCAATTTAAAATATTTTTGTACAATTTAATTAATGTAATATGCCCTTCATACAAATCAGCCTTGTTCTTGGCTTTAACATAGTATACACTAAGTTTATGGCTTTGACTAAATTTGTAACACCCAGTAAATGAGTTAAAAAAAGAAAAAAAAATGAATTGAGTAATTCCTTAATGTATTTGGCGTGGGAAGAATTTATAAACATATCAAATCACAATGAGAAATTTGTTTTGTATTAATGAAAAATATTTTTTTGTATTTCTCAATGTGAACATTTAATTTTAATAAGTTTTATTGGATAATAGCAGATTGTTTGATGCAGATGAAGCCATAAAACATGTAAAATTTTTTTTTTAATTTTATATGTACGAAAACATCTATATCACATTTTCTATTTTGCATAATATTTTTATCTTTTTTAAATATAATCTTGTAATTCCTTAATGTTTTATATGGGTTTTATCGTGAGATATGAACAGAGATCATTGTCTCAACTCAATTAAGATTAATATAGTTATATGCCAATTTAATGTATTAGCGTAGATTTAGTATACATGTATTCTTTTACTAAAGCTATAGATAATCACTAAGATAGTCAACACTTGTTAGTTCACATAGTTGTGTATTAATAAATTTATGTACTTTAAAAAGGATGGACCAAATTTGGCACCTCCAAGAGGTTGGAATTAATGTTAGGTGTCCCACATCAATTATGTGCAATGGACCTATCAATGTTTTATTAGAAGTCAATAAAATTTGAACATGGCCACCCATAATAGTGTCACATCAAGTGGATGGCCAAGGTTATTAATAGGTGTTAAAATTCAAATTAATTGCTTTATTTAAAGTTTTCATATCTTTCTGTTAAAATACCTAAAAAAGCTGTATGGTTCAGCATTATGCCTTGGAATAGGTAGATAAAATTAGTTGGGAATTGCTTTAAATAGTTAGATAAATTAGTAGTTGATTAAGTATGTATTAATTATCTTTTGATATAAATATTCAAAATTTACGTGATTTCAAAAATTAA